ATTCACCTGGACAGCACCTCCCTTGGAAGCTACCCATTGCTCGATCTGAGCTTCGATTTCTGCTTCGGTTTTGTCTGGGGCGCCATTTGCCAGCTGTCTGAATTCAGCCTGAACGGCAGGTGGTGCGTTGGCCACGAATGGTGGAAGTGGTGGAGGACCTTGAGCGCTCACTGCAACTACGAAAACAGCAACGGCCAAGATGCAGAGCTTCATTATGTTGAGGCAGTAATGTGTGCTGAAATTTATCTTATGATTAATACTGATAATAATGCTCATATAGCAACGTTGACAATGCGATGGCAACAACAGAAAGTGTTTCGAGTGTACTGCTCAAGATTACTTAATCCACAAATGTGGATTAAGATATCAGTTGGGTGTCGATATCACAAACGGTGTCGCTATCAAGAAATTGGGAGAAGCAAACTGTGGGGCGCAATTTCGAAAGAAAAGGTCAAAAATTCCGAGGCGACTGCGAAACTGATGAATCTTTGATAAATTGTCAAGTCGTATATCATTGAGTATCAATCAGATCGAGTATGATTGGAAGGTAATCGAATCGAAGTCGAAGGCTAGCGCACAACGAGCACCTTTCAGGTGATCTGTTCACTCTGCAAATGTGCATCGGACTCGCATCAATACACATTTATATAAATAATTTTCGATGACGCTACTGAATAATGCAATCATCATTATGAAATTATTATCGTTATCGTCGTCGTCGTCATCATGAAATATGGGAATGAATTATTTGTGTGTGATGATGAGTCGTGTGTGCTCTCTCGTCGCTTTCCTGATTCCACACAACCGACCATGACAAGAAGGCGGGGTTTTTCGGTTTGGTTCGAGTCACAATGCAGAAAGAAAACACCTCTTCGACGGCATTGGTGAATCAACCAACTGAGGAATAGACAGGCATTTTTTGCGTCAATTGTTCATTTTTCGTCATTATTGATGTATTTTCAATTAAGGTATTATCATCGTATTTGTCATTTTAATTGAGATATTTACTGAGTCTTTCTGTAACTGTGCTCTTTTCTTGAATGCGTAGATCCTTGTTATAACTTGCTTTTCTTCAACTCCAGTCTTTCTCTCCATGTCTTGCCGTTCACTTTAGAAGTGAACAGAGAAGTTGGTTGTTGGGCGAATTGGGAATAAAGGAAACTTGCTTGGTGACGATGTTGATGATAACCACCGAATCAATTCAACTGAAAAGTCGTCGAGCGGTAAACAAGGAACGAAAAACACAAGAAGCACTAATAACAAAATGTGTGATGCATTACACCAATCACTGATTGGAAACTCATCAAAGAAGGTATAACCAGTTGCTTGAGTCATCTGGTTACACTTTAGATGCAGCACACCCTATTTATCAAACAATTCACTAAATTTGTCAATTCGTTCATCATTTCGAGCTGTTCACCAAGAAATGAACGAGCTCATTTGATTGAAAAAAAAACTGGGCGCAAAAAAATCTCATTTGATTCAGTTCGATTGAATTTGTTCAGTGATTTGGATGATTGTGCTCATTATGAGGCATGAGTTCGAACTTCCAGCAGCGGTATTGTAAGG